GTTTCCGTTTCCTAAGAGAAAATAGTGTTGTCTTTCTTCGTATGATTTGTTTCCTAGTAACTTAATCTGGACACTAAATGTGGAAACATATTCAATGGGTGTAACAAGTGTATTTTTAAAGAGTTAGTATGGTTTCTGGTGTTTTGTACTCAGTTTTTTGGTTATGAAACCGAGCATTTTCTTGTCTGTTCTCAGATTGGCGAAGTTTGATACGTTTTAGTTCCTTGCTTATTATTCCAAGGTTCTTTTCTTTTGTTTTGATTAATGTGTTGCCAAACATTTTTTATTAATGTTAGGGATTATTATATCCAAATGTAAAGGCTAAGATCCCTAATATGAGACTAAAGATGATTGTGTTAGCTAGGCGAGCACTGTGTGAGAGAGTTAGATTATCTTTATTTTTCACACCATACCCATCTTATGGGCGACAATCAAAAGATTACAGAGGTATATATTGGGTCCAGAGACCAGGCCACAAAGTTTGGATATCTGAACAAGTTAGTGGTAATGAACTATTTACATGTTTATCTGGTCACAGTCGTGACAAGTTTAGGCAGACATGAATTAGGACACACACACACACACACACACACACACACACACACACACACACACACACACAAACTAAGTGCTCTAGAGAATGAAAAAAGTACAGAAGGCAAAGGACTCAGGAGAATAAAGAGATTAGTCGATGAGCCAGAAACGAGTACGCACAGATAAGGAGGGAGGCACAGCGGCAGTATGAAAATGACAGCATCGAAAGTCAAGTCTGACCCGAAACTACTCTACAGCCACATCAGGAGGAAGACAACAGTCAAGGACCAGGTAATCATGCTGAGGAAAGAAGGTGGGGAGCACACAAGAAACGACCAGGAGGTATGTGAGGAGCTCAACATGAGATTTCAGGAAGTATTTACAGAGGAGGCTGAAGGGACAATGGGAAGACAAAACAGTGGGGTACAGCAACAAGGGATATACCAACAAGTGTTGGATGAATTACACACAACTGAGGAGGTGGAGAAGCTCCTAAGTGACCTTGATACCTCAAAGGCGGTGGGACCAGACATCTCTCCGTGGATCCTTAGAGAGGGAGCAGGGACACTACGTGTGCCACTAACCAAAATCTTCAACACTTCCCTTGAAACTGGGCAACTACCTGAAGTATGGAAGAAGGCAAATGTAGTCCCCATGTTTAAGAAGGGAGACAGAAATGAAGCACTAAATTATAGACCAGTGTCACTGACATGTATAGCATGCAAAGTCTTGGAAAAGATTATCAGGAGGAGAGTGGTGGAGCACCTGGAGTGGAACAAGATTATAAAAAACAGCCAGCACGGATTCATGGAAAGCAAATCCTGTGTCACAAACCTACTAGAGTTTTGTGACAAGGTAACTGAAGTATGAAATGAGAGGGAGAGGTGGGTTGATTGCATTTTCTTGGACCTCAAGGCCTTTGACACAGTTCCTCACATGAGATTAGTAGAGAAGCTAGAGGAACAGGCACGTACAACAGGAAGGGCACTGCAATGGATCAGAGAATACCTAACAGGGAGGCAACAGCGAGTCATGGTCCGTGATGAGGTATCACAGTGGGCGCCAGTGACGAGCGGGGTCCCACAGGGGTCAGTCCTGGGACCAATGCTATTCTTGGTATATGTGAACAACATGACAGAAGGGATAGACTTAGAAGTGTCCCTGTTTGCAGATGACGTGAAGTTAACGAGAATTAAATCAGATGCGGACCAGACAGGTCTACAAAGAGACCTGGACAGACTGGATGTGTGGTCTAGAAACTGGCTCCTAGAATTTAACCCTGCCAAATGCAAAGTCATGAAGATCGGAGGAGGGCAAAGAAGACCGCAGACAGAGTATAGGCTAGGAGGCCAAAGGCTGCAAACCTCACTCAAGGAGAAAGACCTAGGAGTGAGTATAATACCAAGTACATTGCCAGAAGCACACATTAACCAGATAACTGCTGCGGCATATGGGTGCTTGGCAAACCTGAGAATATCATTCCGGTACCTCAGTAAGGAATCGTTCAAGACTTTATACACTATGTACGTCAGGCCCATACTGGAGTACGCAGCACCAGTTTGGAACCCACACCTGATCAAACACGTCAAGAAATTAGAGAAAGTGCAAAGATTTGCAACAAGGCTAGTTCAAGAGCTAAGGGGAATGTCCTATGAAGAGAGGTTAAGGGAAATCGGTCTGGAAGCAAGTTCCATAATTAGCTTTAAGAAGAGGTATGACAAATATCATGACGCACGGAGAGAGTGATTTAGTATCGACCAGTGAAGAGGCGGGGCTAGGAGCTATGACTCGACCCCTGCAGCCGCATATAGGTGAGTACATATAGGTGAGTATACAACCTGGAGGTTATTCCGGGGATCAACGCCCCCGCGGCCCGGTCCATGACCGGGCCGCGGGGGTGTTGATCAGGGCCTGATCAACCAGGCTGTTACTGCTGGCTGCACGCAGTCCAGCGTACGAGCCACAGCCTGGCTGATCCGGCCCTGACTTTAGGTATCTGTCCAGCTCTCTCTTGAAGGCAGCCAGGGGTTTATTGGTAATTCCCCTAATGCTTGATGGGAGGCTGTTGAACAGTCTTGGACCCTGGACACTTATGGTGTTTTCTCTTAGTGTACCAATGGTGCCCCTACTTTTAATTGAGGGTATTTTGCATAGCCTGCCCAGTCTTTTACTTTCGTAGGGAGTGATTTCTGTGTGCAGATTCGGGACCATGGTAATGCTTTTTTTTACAGTGAGCAAATTTAGGATTTTTTCTAGAATAGTTTGTAATGTACCAGTCTGGATAAAATATTTTGACATTTCTTGACCATTTCTGAGTGAGTTGTCTCTTAATTCACAATTTTTACAGCATTCCGGTACATAATGACGCAAGGTGTGACAATTCGTATACATCTGATGATGGTGAATTAACCTTCCCAAGATACTGGTAACACAGCCAGAGCCGGGCTGTCTTACCAGTATCTGCTTGTTTTGTTGGATGCACCGGAGACATGTGGCTCTCCCGCATGATAGAATGATAGATTGACTAACTGGTGTCAGTCTCCCTGAGTCTTAAATCAATAAAGTTCATTTGAAGTTCTTTTCATATTATTGTTCTCAAACTGCTAACTGACAGCCCAAGATTGTAATCTACTTCCTCTTTGAAGGCATATAAATTAGCTAATTCATCAGTTCTATCATGCATCTGAAGATCAATGTGAGATGGAATCCACAGAAGGTGCACTCCATCTCCACTGTCTACAATCATGCCATACCTGTGTCTGGCTTTTGACACAAGCATGCCAAAATTTATACTTAATTTTTGTCGGGCAAACTCAAAAATTTTCTAGCTTAAACACGTGCAAGTTTGCGCGTGTCATCCTACACGCGCCGCACATCTGGATTCCCGTTCTTTAATTCTAACCAATCACAAGCCTTCCCTGAGTCGCTTCAGCTAAGTGGTGATGGCGTTTGCCGCCTTCCCATTGGTTGAGAGAACAGAACATAAACACTTGTGGCTTGGTGTCGCCCAGAGTAGGTTTTTTTCCATCCAGTGTCACTAATATACTCTTGGATTTTACCCTTTACAATGTCGGTAAGTACTAATTGTTGTTTAGTGCGTACATGAATAGTTTAGGCATATTTTGATATATACATAAAGTCTGTGTGAAGCATAATGTGAGTGTAGCATGCAGTTGAAAAAAGTGCAACAAAGGAAGCTCGAAAATTTTCGTGGCTGCCCGAGAAGTGACATAGTACAATTTCAGTAAAATAAATATTTATAAAAAAATTTCTATTGCATATATGAATTCTGTAGTGGTCTGGATCTATACAGAAGGTTTTTATTGTCCTTCCAGATCAATGAGAAATTGTTTTATGGGGAGCTCTCCAGCACCAGGTCAAAATGTGTCTGCATTTTGGAGGAGAGTGACTCGGAACCAGAGGTAGATGAATCAGAATTGCTGGATAGTGGTGATGAATACTTGCCACCGGATGCAGAGGTGTCAAGTGATGAGGAGGGAGAAAGGCCAACCAAAAAGTAGAAATTAGTGAAGAAAAAGAAAGGTATTACGATTGAGGCGTACCCTGATGAGGAACATATTTATGATGATATTGCTCTTGAAGGTCAATCTCAGTGGTCCCAGGTTGACCTCCAAAATGATTCTTTGCTGGCATATGAACATGAACTATCAATTAGCAATAATTGCTCTTCCTCATGAATCTCAGGAATATGGGACTTGAAAGTTTTATCCCTTTGCAATGTGTCCATGTTGCTATTTGTTTCATTTTTATATTTTTCTAATACTTACAAAATGTTTTGATGCAAATTCCATTTATGTTTTTGATATTGTCTGTTTGTATAATAAATTTAAAAAATAGTTATTGGGTGTTTTATTAACAATTGAAAGTTTGCAACATTCAAATTTACTCCCCATGTCGGGCAAGAGCGAAAATTTTCGACTTTCGAAGATTAGCAATTGCTCGAAAACTAACCATCAGAATTCCATTTATATGGCCTCATTCAACTTATATTGAGATACTCTATCCACTCTAGGGAGTTCTGTTTGAATTTCTAATTTTATGGCCAGTTGCCCAACAAAGGGTTAATTAAGGAGCTGAGAACATTTATGGATAATAAAGAATCAGTTACAATTAAAGTGTCAGAGAAAGAGAGAGACCAGTTTCAATAAGGCATCACAGAAGGCAAGAAGTGTAAGGAATAAACACCTGAAGTATCAGTGGAAGGAGAGGCATGAATAAAATAGCTACCAAATGCAACAGTCTGACCAAATGTAAGTTTAATATTCACAATGATCAACCTTGCATTTTTCACCATTTTTTCTCCACTATACTCTTCTTTGGGGTGGATATACCCTTTCATTTCTTGAATCAAAACAGATTACCCCCAATTCACAGGCGCTGTATGACCCTTACGGATTTAGCGCTTCCCATAACTATAATGATATATATACATCAGGAACGCTTACCTCTACTCTCTCCTCCATAAGGTCAACCTTCAGTGCGAGCTGTTCCCTGAGGAGGACGTCTGGGTAGTGTGTGTGCTGGAAGGTGAGCTCCAGCTGCCTCAACTGGTCCTCGGTGAAGATTGTACGGTGACGACGTTTCCTTTTGTTATTGCTGCTGGCCTGCCTCTCCCCCCTCTTGTGGGAGGCCTCTACCCATGACCCTCCCTCCCCATCTGGTCATCACACATGTGAGACAAATTAATACATAAGTAAATAAATAAATGTACATTTAATATATAATAGAGGTTAACCATAGAATTGATAAAGGAAAAAAGATGAGTGGTGCATTGAGGTGTATATGGAGACAAAAAACATTATCTATGGAGGCAAAGAAGGAAATATATGAAAGTATAGTGGTACGAACACTCTTATATGGGTGTGAAGGCTGGGTTGTAAATGCTGCAGCGAGGAGGTGGTTGGAGGCAGTGGAGATGTCCTGTCTAAGGGCAGTGTGTGGTGTAAATATTATGCAGAAAATTCGGAGTGTGGAAATTAAGAGGTGTGGAGTTAATAAAAGTATTAGAGGGCTGAAGAGGGGTTGTTGATTTGGTTTGGTCATTTAGAGAGAATGGGTCAAAGTAGAATGACATGGAGAGCATATAAATCTGTAGGGGAAGGAAGGTGGGGTAGGAGTCGTCCTCGAAAAGGTTGGAGGGTGGGGGTAAAGGAGGTTTTGTGGGCGAGGGGCTTGGACTTCCAGCAAGCATGCGTGAGCATGTTAGATAGGAGTGAATGGAGATGAATGGTATTTAGGACCTGACGAGCTGTTGGAGTGTGAGCAGGGTAATATTTAGTGAAGGGATTCAGGAAAACCGGTTATTTTTATATAGCCGGACCTGAGTCCTGGAAATGGGAAGTACAATGCCTGCACTTTAAAGGAGGGGTTTGGGATATTAGCAGTTTGGAGGGATATGTTGTGTGTCTTTATACGTATATACTTCTAAACTGTTGTATTCTGAGCACCTCTGCAAAAACAGTGATTATATATGAGTGAGGTGAAAGTGTTGAATGATGAAAGTATTTTCTTTTTGGGGATTTTCTTTCTTTTCGGGTCTCCCTGCCTCGGTAGGAGACGGCCGACTTGTTTTATATATATATATATATATATATATATATATATATATAATATATATATATATATATATATATATAATATATATATATATATATATATTATTATATGCACTCTGGGATTAAAAGAGAGCGAACAAGATACAAATTGGGAGTTGCTAGTTGTTCTTTGCCAATCACTCAGTACTTTTCGGGAGATTCCGAGAAGCTGGAAACATTGGTGAAGGAATTTGGGATGGTATGTTAAAAGAAGAAATTGAACATAAACTTAGAAAAGAGTAAGGGGATGAAAGTAACGAAAAATATAGGCATTGTAAACTTTGATTATCATATTGGAAGGACGTACATATGATCAGATATTAGGGAGTGGACCTGTCGGTGGATGGGTCTATGGAAAACGAGGTAAACCATTGAATGGAAGAGGGAAAGAAAAGTGGATGGTGTTTTGAGGCATCTGTGGAGACATGAAAGGGAAAGTATCAGAGTATAGTGGTACCAACAATGTTGTTTGGGTGAGGCATGATTTAAACGATACAGCGAAAAGAAGGTTGGAAGCAGTGAGGATATCGTGTTTGACGTCAATGTAGAGTAAAAATGTTATGCAGAGAATTCGGGGTTTGGAGATTAGGTGTGTGGTTACCAAAAGTATAATTTAGATGGCTGAGGAGGGGCTATTGGGATGGTTTGGGCACTTAGAGAGGACGGAGCAAGATAGGATGACTAGGGTATATAAATTGGATGTGAAGAGTAAGGGTACAGTTCATACCCTGGAATTGTCAGAGGGAGGGGGTAAAGGAGTTTTCGAGTGCTAGGTAGGGGCTTGGACATCCAGCGAGCTTGTGCGAGCACATTAGATCAGAATGGTGGTAAGTAGCTTTTGTAACCCAATGTGTTCCTAGAGTATGAACAAAGTAACATTTATGACGGGATTCAGGGAAACTGGCTAGCCAAATTTTAAGTCCTGAAGATGGAAAGCAAAGTGTCTGCACTCAGAGCAAAGGGTGAGAATGTTGCAGTGTGTATGGCTGCTGAGGTGAAATGTCAGTACGCTTCTAGCAAGAGAGCAGTTGGATGAATAACAGTGAAAATGACGGTGAAAGGCTGCCAAGAGCTTGCAAAAGTGGACAGAAATGGAGATTAGCCAAGGTAAGTGTGTCTGTGGAGGCATCCTACAAGGGAAGAAAGCCAGCCAAGGGCCGCAAGCCTGACTAATCGTCAGATGCTAGATCCCAAAGGAAATATTTTAAGAAATAGCAGAAAAAAGACATTCCAGCGTTGTAGGTGTGGCAATAAACAGGAGAAAATATTGCTAATAACATATCAGGAATCAAGAACGCACCAACAAACTTCCATACATTTTCTTAAAATGAAACAACAGCTGCTGTTACACGTGTTTGTGGCATTGTTTTGCCTAAGTTCTGGAAATTTCCTCACAAACTGGCCTCATAAATCAAACACACTTGACAAATAATTGCAATTTTTTTCTAGATACAAAAAGTTTCATAATTGTTAAAAATCAATTTTTTTGTGAAATTTTTACTCAAGGAGTAACTTATTCTGTGTTATGGAAACTTTCCACGAATATTGAAATTTCTTCTCGTTATTAAATGCACGATGCCTATGCGACAACAATATATTCATCAGTTTAGTTTACCTGCTTTTCGCTTTAACTCATTAAAAGGCCGTAACAGTTCCCATTGCATTAGCAAGTGTAATAGTTATCTGTGCAGCACACAAAATATGAGCATTAAGGAAAATGGATAGACTTAACGAGAAAATATACTGTGCCCTACCTCATCACATGTACAACTGACTATATGCAATTGTGGGTTCTTTTCTTTCCCAAATATGCTAACAATAGCCATAGGACGTAGAACAGCGTAAAAGATTCAGAAATCAACGTCGAGGCACTGGTAGGACAAACGCACTAGGAGATGGTGGAGGTCCCTCCCACAATTTAACTACCTTGTTTATTAATCCATAAATAATGAAATAGTACTCTTACAACTCACTGGAAGACAACGATCTAACACAAAGGGCTGACAGGTTTAACGAAGGCCAGAACATTAAATTTTAGTTTATATCAGCCAGTTGTCATCGAGATGTATGCGTAGAATCATGACATTTAAGACAGTCCAGAGAATTTGTGAAAATGTGAGTTTTAAGATTATGTACAGTAATCTCTAATCATAGGTTAGGGATTACTTCTCGTTGTTTTATAACTGCTAATTCTAAGTTATTTCTTTCCAGCCAAGATGAACTAAGAACAATAATTCTGGCCTCTGACCATTTTGTAGGGTTTTTACATACATATGTAATTAAATGTGGCATTAGTCTTGTGCTGTTCAGATCGAGCATTGGTGTTGTGCTAGCCTAACATCAAGGGTTTTACACGTCTGTCCAACTGCTACATCCCGCCTAAAAAGTTTTTTTGGCGAATTCTTAATCAATATGCTATTAATCAACCTTAAATTCTTGAAGACTACTTGTATGTCGAATCCATTTAGAGCATTAGGCAAAGCAGATACATTCTCATTGTAAGGGAGAACTGAGACGTTCCTTACCTAGGGTCATCCTAGGTTCTGTTCTGTAACAAATCTTCCTAGTTGATATCAAAGCCTTTTCTACAAACTCCTTAGGGGTGGCGTAGTTTCGCCGCAATATCAAAGATTTTTTTACTTTCCTCATCGAGAAACTTGGGGCTGCGAACTCGCAAGGCTCTCAGGAACAGACATTGGTGGCTTTATATATATACGGTGAAACGGTGAATTTGAGATATCTATCAACACGGTGGATCAAAAATCCAGGAAGGGGAGTTTGCAACCCACTGCTTTTTCCACTGTGAACTGAATTTAATAGATGGGACAAGTGAGTTGGAGCATATATATATATATATATAAATAAATATTATAGTATATATATATAAAAATATATATATATAATATATGGGTGTGAAGCATGGGGATGAATATGCAGAGCGAGGAATGAAAGGCTGAGGCAGTGAGATGTCATGTCTGCGGCAATGTGTGGTGTGAATATAATGCAGAGAATTCGTAGTTTGGAAGTTAGGAGGAGGTGGCGCGGATTACAAAACTGTTGTCCTGAAGGGTTGAGGAAGGGTTGTTGAGGATGGTTTCGGACATGTAGAGAGAATGGAGCGAAACAGAATGACTTCAAGAGGGTTATTAGTCTGTAGTGGAAGGAAGGCGGGTAAGGGGTCGTCCTAGTATAAGGTTGGAGAGAGGGGGTAACGGAGGTATTGTGTCGAGGGGTATAGGACTTCCAGCAGTAATGCATGACGTGTTTGTATAGTATGAAGGAGACAAATAGTTTTAAAACTTAGACGTGCTGTTGGAGTGTGAGCAAAGTAACATTTATGAAGGGTTCAGGGAAACCGGTCAGGCCGGGACTTGATCCTGGAGATGGGGAAGTACAGTGCCTGCACTCTGAAGGAGGGGTGTTAATGTTGCAGTTTCAAAAAAAGTTTAAGTGAAAGCACCCTTCTGGACAAGACCGTGATGTTGTGAATGATGGTGAAAGTTTTTCCTCTTTCGGGCCACCCTGCTTGGTGGAAACGCCAGTGTGATATATATATATAAAAATATGCTTCTATATATATATATATATATATATATATAATTATTAAATATATAATATAATATATATATATACCAGTACCAACAATACCACCAGTCCGATAACATTCTTCCTTTGCAAATATACAGGACTAAAGCCAGCAACAAACAACAAAATACCTTTCATCCGTGAACTGCTTGCAGAGGCAAAGGCAATGTTCGCGCTTTCACTGAGACCCACATAAAGGAACACTTGGACAACGAAATAAGGATCCCAGTTACAACCTATACAGATGTGACAGAGTGAACAGGCAAAAGGGGGGGAGGTTTGGCCTTACATTGCAGAGGAAGTCACTTGTTTGCACAGAACTGCTTAATGCCTCAAAATGATTAGTGGAAGTTTTAGCATAAAATGTCGAGAACAAAACTAGTCATTTGTTGTAGTCCCTACAACCTCCGGATGCAACATCCCAGCAATTCCAGGAACAGCTGTTAAAAATTGACCACCTGTCTGGAAAATCATCCAG